GCAGGGCCGGGGGATGTTGGGGCCGGGAGTGAACGAGTGAGTGAGGGCTGAGCCACTGCTGCTGGGGGTTGGTTAAAGCTTGTGCCACAACCCAGGAACCAACCCTTCGTGGCCCAATACTGGGTGGGAACCTCTGCCCTAGACTACAGATTCCAGAAACAACCCTGCTATGAAAGATACAAAAAAATGCTTAAGTCTCCTACTATGCTTAATTTTAGTACTTATTCAAGTTTTATTTTCTATTGCTTCAAATCAAGGGAAGAGGGGCAAGGGAATAACTTAGTTCTAACTACTCCTTCATTAAAACTGACAGATTATTTTTGCTGCCATTGAGAAGCTTGTGCATGTTCTCTCAGATTCCTGATGTCTCTATGTCCAAGCTTGCAGCAATGAACAGGTCTTGGAAAGCTCTAGTCATAATTGGTCAACATTCAAGCAATATCTTGTACAAACTAGATGAAAATTCCTCAGATGGAGAAGGCAACCGATGCACTTTCCAAGCCACCTCCACCTTCTCACAAAGGGGTTTGTTTTTGTTGCAGGAAAACTGGCTGTCAATGCCAGTGACCTTAACCTTTCTCTTTACACACATTGGGGTCCCATTCTTGGCCCCTGGGTAGGCTGGCCTCAGAGATAAATTTTAAGCCAGATAGCATATGACGTCTCACCTACCAGTCATGAATCAATGCCCAGCATGAAGTGCTTCACCAACTATTTTTGAATATTGTTCCTAATTAATGGGATTGTTCCCTGCCCAAAATTTGGGGGAAAGAAGGTTCAAATAGTAAAGACAATGACACCTCTGGAAACAGAAAAGCTTCCTTGACTGGTGCTGAAAGCAGAGGGATATGGGGTGGGGGCAGAGTTGGTTTACAATGCTAGGAAGGGCTCATTCATTATGAGTGACACTACACTAGCATGGGCTTTTGTGTTGATGTTGGTAAAAGGTTCTCCTTACACCATCCTCTTGGATGACACTTGGCCTCTCCCTCTCAATGCTAATAGAACTTTTAGGATGTTTCAAATCCTCCTTGTGAGGAAAACCAGCTCTATTCTTTAAGCCTCACAAACTCAAGTGCAATTCTGTCCAGGTGCCAGTGCTTGATTTTATAGATTCATAGATTGTAAGGCTGGAAGGGACCTCAGAAGATCATCGGGTCCAGCCCCCCTGCACCAAACAGGAAAGACAGCTGGGATCAGGTGACCCCAGCAAGGTGACCGTCCAGTCTCCTTTTGAAGATTTCCAGGGTAAGTGATTGCACTACCTCTGGAGGAATTTTATTCTGCAGTCTGGACACTAGTTGTGAAGTAGTTTTTCCTAACGTTGAGTCCGAAACAGTCTTCCAAGAGTTTGTGACCATTACTCCTAGTTTTCCCCAAGGGTGACCTGGTGAACAGTTGTTCACCGAGCCCTTGATGTAGCGGTAAGCTGCTACCAAGTCCCTTCTCAGCCTTCTTTTTTTTCAGGCTGATGAGTCCCAGATCCCTCAGCCTTTTGATTTATTAGATCATGGCGCTAGTGCCAGTGACACTAATACCCTCTCAGATGTCTTCAAGCCTGCTGGATTGGGGTTGTTGTGGAGTACTTGCCATGGACAACTTTCCTGGAAAATGTTTCCCTCTTCCAAATTGGATGCAACATTCAGAGGCTGCTTTAAGAGATGCAATTTAAAACTTGAGTCTTCTGTGTTTCAGGTACACAAAAGGAGATTAGGTAGGTCTTTCTCCAAGACAAAAGGATATTTGCTATGTCCACCAGCCAAGGAATGTAATATCACCACACGATGGACAGAGTTTAAATCCTACGATCTTAAAATCTTGCACAATGGTTATTACCAAGTGTTTCACCCTAATGTACAGGAAGTATACAAAAGGACTCCCCATATTTGTTGGGAAACTTGCAAAAGAAGATGGGGGGGAATAAAGTGGAAAAAAATTCTTCATAAAATCAGGCAACTGGGTTAAATCTAAGGCTCAAACACAATAGCTGAAGACTGTATAGTTTCCAATCTCACAACATAGATGGCTTGTGGCTGCTCTACCCTTTCTGTTGCAAAGAAATAAGAAGCAACAAAGCACACATATGGGGGCCAATGACCACTCCTGTTCCAAAAACTGCAAGTTAATGCACAAGGCACACATGTACATGTAAGTGGAACCTAACCCACACTCCAAAAATTAAAATTCAAGTACTTTAGGAGTACACAGGAAAAAAAGGTCTATAAAGTCTATACATGTCTTTTTCCTATATGGGCATTAAACAAATCAGGTCTTTAAAAAATACTACTTTAGCTCAAAGGAATTTAGAAGAAACTTCATTGCAAACATTGCTATACTCTATATTTTTAATCTACGGCTCAAGTAGAACTTCCCCAACAGCATACTTATAATTGGATTTCTGCTCAGTCAGGGCTGTGAGTTGACCACAACTCCTCAGCAATAAATGTTCATCTAACAATGCATTTCCACAAATGCAAGATTTGTCTATCATTTCACTACTACTACTGTCTGCTCACCAAAAGGTTGTCAGAAACTAGTTTTGTTCAAGCCTCTTTACAGAAATTCAGTGCTGGGAAACTGTCTAAATTCACATTAGTATTTTAACAACTGCTGCTAATTCCTTTAATTACGAATACCAAAGGCAGAACAAAAGACTCAGTCTTACAAGTAAAGAATCGCTGAAAAAACAACAGCATTCAGTAATTCCGTAGCATCAAAAGATATACTGGACACTTTTGAGTACGAAGATACTGCCACCACCCTAAATAACTTACTGCTAAATTTTAGATGTTGCACAACAGGAGGCAGGGAAGAAAATGAAGCATGGTGCTTACAGAAAGAGCAATGAGGCACAACTATCTGGATAACCTAGGAGTGGGCAAAATATGGGCGGCCCCATTCTGCTCATGGAGAGACTCTGTCCAGCCTGTGGGATGTCCCTTGGTCTTGCTTGGCCCAGGCACCATCTGGTCCGTGGTGTGTCCAGCAGCCCCCAGACACGCAGCAGGGCTGGGACGGCGCTGCAACTGGACTCTGGCCGTGGCCCCACATGGACTGGCAGGGAGCCACATGTACAGCCCTGGCCCTGCCGGTCTCATGCCCACTCTGGACCTGCCCTGACTGGAGCAGACCAGCTCCCAACCAGCTGGGACCTACGTGCACAGCCTGGCCACCCTGCGCCCTCTCCAGATCTGCCTGCCCATGATGAGCAGTGGCAACAGCCAGGCAGAAGCTATTCCTGGGTGCAGGGAAAAAGCAGCCACCTCCCCCTCACTGCTGCCAAGCCCTTCTTGCTGCAGTTGTCCAGAGCCTGTACCCGAGCTGCCCTGTGGTGCCTCTCTGCCACCAGCACTGCTTCTGGACTGTCCAGCAGGGGAGAGGTAGACTGTCCAGCAGTGGAGAAGAGCTGCAGGACAGCCTGGGTGCAGGTTCAGAGCGATTGCAGCAAAAAGGACCTGGCAGAGGCAAGGGGTTGCTTTTCCTGTGCACAGCAGCAGCTTCTGCCTGGCTGCTACTGCTGCTCATCGTGGGTGGGCTGGTCCAGAGCAGGCATGGGGTGGTCCAGTATTAGGGCTGTGTGTGTCAGTCCCATTTGGTCCGGAGCTGGTCCACTCTAGCTGGCAAGGCAGAGCCAGGGCCTGGGCTGTATGCTCAGCTGCTGCGCATATGCCACAGGGTATGTGGGATCCGGGCTATTGCAGGGGCTGACTGGCTCACAACAGCTCCCCAAAAATGTCTGTGGCCCACAGGCCCAAATAACTGTCTGCCCCTGGGATAACTGCACCTCAAACTGGTCGCATGAGTTAATTAGTGTAGGTCTGAATAAAGACAAACAAAAAGACAAACAGAAAATCTGCTGCCTCCTGCAACTGATGGTTGTTTTCAGAAGCAGACACACTTCCCCCATCACTGTCTTTACTGAACCACTGTACAAATGTGGTGTTATGGAAACTGTACTGGTAGGGATACATACAGAAAAAACAATGCCCTGGTCAAGTGTGAATTTCACAGACTCTAAGGACTTCTTAGAGTTGAAGGTTTTAATTCTGGCAAATTTAAGCTGCTACTCTGACTGACCAAGACACCAGTTCCTGTTTCAGTGATCCCACTGAGCTTTCAGAAACTGACAGACAGACTAAACAAGATGCATCTACTTTTCTTAAAACAACATGTTCTCAGCCAAAATTTTTATTAACAGTCACCAACTTCTGGGGTCCAGAACAAACCAGACTACTTCTCTGAAGACGATCCTGTTGATTAACACAAAAGACACGAGTCCTCCAAAGATAGCATGAGCAATTCTACTATCAAATTTACACATGCAAAGAGCAATACACAGCCTTCCCTCACAGTTTCCCTATAGCAGCATCACTTCTGTCTGCTTGGAAGGTTGCAATAGCTCAAGCTAGCTTTAATATAAAGTGTACAGAAAAAGGAAGTTTGTAGACCTCTGATAAGCAAGAATAAGCCCATCTTGCAAATAATCTTTTTTTTTGGCCTTCAAAGCAACCTCCTTATTTACTTACTATGCTGCCCTTTGGCTTCCTCTTTTTGGATTAGGCACATATTGCAAAAAAAGCACGAGCTTGTAAGGAAGCAGATACCCCTCATGGGGCAAGGCAGCAGCATCCCAGTGATGCAGGTGAAAATGATGAGAGCGGTGGAAGGCTACAGGAAAAGATCCAAGATGAGAGCCTTCTGCCGACTGCTATCCTGCCTCAACTCAGCACGTCTGGGAGCTACCTCTCTGTTAATACATTAGTCTAATTGCAACAAAGTTTGTTTTCTCAACAGAGTTTAGTGTAATACTCCTAAAAGCAATGGCAGGGCTGTATTTGTTAAATACAGAGCTTGCAGCAGAAGCAAGTCACCTTACAGCTCAAAGGTCTCTGATACAAGTGCTGTTCCTATTTAAACTCCCCTGAAGCTGCTGAATTGCAGGCAATTTGCTTTAAGAATAGGACTGCAAAGACACACATGCACGGTACATATGCCCATACCTTTGTCCTTCTTGAAGTCCAAAGCATCCTCCTTATCTGTCACTATTTCCTTCATGTTGATGATACTTTGGTGGTTCAGCTGTCGAAGAATCTTAATCTCCCGAATAGCTGTAATTGGAAACCCTTCTTTTTCATTATCGAGCCGTACTTTCTTTAGTGCCACCATTTCTCCTGCAAGAAGGGTTCAACATAAAAAAAAAATAATGCTAGTACTCGAAAATGAAAGTTTACATTTTTCAGTCTCTTGTCACATGTACAACGACTCTAGTTGATCTGGTTTTGTCCTTCGGCTCAATATTGTAATTTAAAAAAATTATGCATTCATGTTCCGGGGCTTGCACCTGCACTGTGTTGTAAAGAAAGTAAAGTCAGGAAATATTTGCAGAAGTGAAACTTGACATAACTTTCTTCAAACTGCTATGTGGTCTCCTTCTTCCTGCCACCTCAAGCTTCCAATCAATAATCTCACACACAAGAGTAAGAGACTTAGCAATAGTTCTATCCGTGGATGCCTGCACAGGTTGCCGACTTCATATTACAGTCCCATCTGAAGTCAAAGTGGGAAGAGATTTTTTCTTGCTCTTTTTCCTATTAATAATCAATATGCTTTGTATTTATAACAGAAGAACAGCAATTTAAACCAAGATCAAGCAAGCAAGAGAAACTCTTAAAATTTATTGCATTTTATTAAATGTAATAACCTACTTAAATTTAATTTAACCTGTTTATTAAAAGGTGCTGGCAAACATTTTGTGACAAAATAGTTGTTAAATACACCCATCAGTGTCTCAATGCCATGTATGACATTTATCTGACATACTGCAGGAAAAACAATCCTATAGATGACATTTTGGGAAGAGCAAGATTTTCCCCTATTATTCAGAGAGTGGCTATGAGTCTGTGGCACAGAGCAAAAACAGCCAAATTCCAGAACATATTTTCCAAATCACACCCTTTGGCTGTGTACAAACATTCTCCCAGGTTTGTTTTCCTGGTAGGAAAAAACAAAACAAAACACAACTTATTCAGAGCCACATGTACAGACATTCGAATCCTGAGGCACTGAAGAGTGGAGAGCTTGCAGTGCTGACATTGTGCATCCAGGGTGGGGGTGTTATGCACACATCTCAGCATGCTCTGTAGGCTCCTTTAGTCTGCCTGACAACAAATGGCAGCAGTGCATAGGGCAGCTCTGATTGGGAGCAGTAAGGGCACAGTCTCCCTAGAGGAAGGGAGGGGATACTAGAGGACTATGTTCTCTTTTGAGAGAAGTCACAGCATGTACAGACATTTGTTTTCCCTGGAGAAACTCTCCCGAGAGTGATTTAACCTTGATTGTTACCAGGTTATTTTTTTTCCTAGAATGGCCATTTTTACTCGGAGAGAAAAAGCCTGAACATCTGTACAGTCATGGATCTCTCCAGGGAGAGCAGCAACTCTATCAGGAGAAACCGAATGTCTGTAAAAGGCTACTTACAACAACAGATGCAAAGGTTATTGTTCTGTGAGTCTGTCTCCCCTCCTCTCTTCACTTTTAGTGTGTTCTGTCATGACCCAAAAGGCATGATTGTGTGTGTGCTTCGGCACCAGAATTATCCCCGTCAAGTTGCAGAGCATTGCACGGGAGTGTTTCCTGTGGCAAGAGGAAACCCCGGTGCAGGGACGAGTTTCCCGCCTTTTCTGCAGCTTCTTTTGCAGAGTGCATTGCTCATGTTGCAAGAGGAATGCACGGTGCAAGAGTTCCCGCCACTGGTATGCAAATTAGTTCCCCGTGATTGGCTAGTATTAAATTATTCACACGTGGCGGCTAATGATTGGCCTGTTAGCCATATAAGAGGCTTGAGCAGTTTCTGCCCAAGCCGAAGAGGACTCCACATCCATCTCGTGGGGACTCTGGGTACACGGCAGGGTAGTAGAAACCCTGTGTGAGATCCAGAGGAGCTTGGCGGCCTGATCCACCACCCACCTCTTCCCGTCTTCGAACGCGACTCCTATAAGACGTATTTACGATTTCTATTTTGGTGGCTCGTTCACCCAGAGCATCCGGAGCTCTGCACCGTGGAGCCTAGCAACCTCCACGAGACCGTCTGTGTTGTCTGTCTGTAACTGCAACTCAATCAAGCTTTCCGGCCTACACCACTGCCATCTCGGTGTAAGTAAACAATCTTTAAAACTACCGATACGCATCTGTGCCTAATTCCAGCTCGAAGGCCTTCCCTCTCCGACCCGGTGTGCCCGGGCTGCTGGCCACAGCCCGCGTGCAGCGCGGAAAAGGGCTCGGGTCGCTCCCGGCCCGCACGTGTTCAAGGCAGGAATAACAAATTGGCCAAAAACGTGCAGCTTACTTTTTGAGCAGCTCCCCAGATGCACTATTTTACGTAGCTCTACCATGGAGAACTGTCAGCATTAGAGACAAGAACAACTGCGAAGAATTCAGCCACTTGAGGTGGCAGAAATGCATGGTATCCATATTAAACTCTTGTAATACTACAATTCTGTAATCAATACTCATTCGTTATGTTTTTAGATCTTACCTGTATCCTTATCCCTGGCCTTGTAAACTTGCCCATATGTGCCTTCTCCAATAATCCCAATAATGTCAAATTTATCCACGCAGCGTTTTCCCCAGTCAATCTCTTTTTCCTTTGTTTCACCATGACGTGGGCCACATATTCTGGTAAATAGAAGTAAGCTCTAAAAATTAATCTTTAACAACAATGTATTTATCTGAACTTTGATCAACTTATAAAAAAGCAAGGGTTCCTTTCTCATGTGTTCCTTAGAAAATAAGAGCTGTAAGACCCAAAATAATTGAACTTTCAATATTCATGTTCTTTATTTCTCTCAGCTTGGAAAATGAAACTATTTAGTTAATTTTAGTTTAACTTCTCTTTCAAAACAGTTTCACTTTCCATTTCCCATATACTAACATAGTAGGCCTGTGTGAATAGGGAACTATTTGATTTGGCCGGTTCAGAGGACAGCAATTCGATTGGGCCAAAGCAGAATTGGAGAGTCGGTGCTGATTCAGAGATTTGGATCAGCCGGGGAGTCACCGGAGAAGCCCCCATGGCTGCCCTGCCAGGCCCCATACCCTGCCTGGCCCAGCCTCCCAGCACTTTAAAATAAAAGCCCCACACTCAGCAGCTGCAGCAGCGGGGATCAGGGCCTCTGAAGGCTGCTGGCAGAGCACCCCCTGTGCAACACAGGGCAGCGTGGGGATTGCCTCCCACCTGGCACCTGCACACCAGCTGCCCCATGGCAGAGGTGCAGTGTAGCTTGGCAGGGCGCTGTGCACTATTTGGGAGCTGGGGCCGCGCAAAGCCAAGCTCCAGCTGCTTGCTGGAGCCTCCCCAGCTGCCAGACAGCACATGGTGTCCTGCCGAGCCATACTACACCTGCACCATGCGAAAGCTGCCGTGAGACTGCCAACTGGGGGAGGGGGTGGGGAGGAGGCAATCCCCACTGCTCCCCACTGCATGGGCAGGCTCTGACAAGAGCCCTCAGAGGCCCTGATCACTACTGCTACAGCCAGTGAGTGTGGGGCTTATTTAAGTGCTGGGAGGCTGGGGCTGGGCAAGGCAGCCATGGGGGCTTCTCCCACAGCTCCTTCAGCTGTGCCTGCCTCTTCCCTGGTGGGGGGAGCCACAGGAGAAGCCCCTATCCCCTCCCAGCACTTAAAAAAAAGCCCCGCACTCACCAGCTCTGGCAGCGGGGATCAAGGCCCTCTGGAGCTCATGGCAGAGCCCCCCCATGCAGCACCAGGAGGCTGGGCCACGCGGGGGATGGAGCTGGGCAGGGCAGCCATGGGGGCTTCTCCCGTGGCTCCCCCTGCCCAAGGAGCCGCAGGAGAACCTGCAGCTGCCCGGCTGCGCCTGCCTCTCCCTGGCCAATCTGAATCTCTGAATCTTTTCCAAATTGATTCGGAAGCTTCAGATTTGATTCAGGCCTTTTAATGGGTCTCCCGATTCAATTTGGATTCAGAGATTCGGCTGCTGAATCAGGCCGAATCTCCTCTGAATCTAATCGGTGACCAAAGCTTTTCACAGCCCTATATTATATGGCTGTCCAACTGGTGGCCCCCAAGGGGTTAGTCTCCCAGTCTGGATGCTACTTCCCCATTTTTCTCCTGTTGTTGCTGCCACTGCAGTCTTGAGTTCCTCCTCCCTCCCTCAGCTTCTACTTCCTGCCTCTGACGTCAGGGCAGCAGTTTGATGTGCAGGGCAGAGGGAGTCCATGGCAAGGAAATTTAGGGGATCCTGTGCAGTGCAGTCATCAGTGAATCATGGTGGGGACTGCCCACTGCAGCACAGCAGATTTGGACCCATGTGGCATAGCATGCAGGGGCTGTGCAGCCATGTGGTGCGTAGACAGGGTTGGACAGACCCGGATTACCACAAAGCTGCTATATTTTTTAAATTTGTAATTTGAAAAAACAAACAAACAAATGAATGTCTGTTTGAAACTGATTTCCACAGGAATTTAAAAATATATTTAATCTTCTAACTACATTTTGGAAACAGTAGTGCCAGTGTCTGTCCACGCAAGACATTTTTACTGACCTAAAGATGCCATCCCATTTAAACTACAATGTGAAACATGCAATTCAACAGCCAACGCTTGCTCCTGGGTGTTGCAGGGGCATTATTCTTGCCCATAAGAGGCAAAAGGATGGGAGGAAGGGGGTGAAATGCAAAGGAAGGAACAATTAACTGGCCATAGCAGTGATTCTTTCTGGGTAGTTTAAGAGCAAAAATGAATTCCTGAGAAAAAAAATGTTTTAAGGGAGGATATAACAGTCAAGGAAGTTTTAAGCCAGACCTGGGTTAACACACACATCTAATCTCAAGCACACATTTCTGGCTGCTCATCAACAGATATTTTCCAAAAAGCTTCTCTCTCTGCCTGTCCTTTCTGCTAACCCAGTCCCTCAGTGATGTGCACAGCTAAGCAGGCATAAATGAGGGGAAAACTGAACAAGACTTAGGGCAGATGATGCAAATAGGAAACTAGGAGGTAATGTGTGATCAATTCTTCCCCACATAGGGCCAGAGCTCCCAAGGATTGTCCTGAAGAGGACTTGAAACAAAAAAAAGTCTTCCTGATCACATAAAAGAAGACCAGACAGATCAACAGAATGGGAACAAATCTTGAGTCAAATCTTTTTTTATCTCTTATATTGAACAGATATGAAAAGCCAGACAAATGTCATCTATTCCACATCAGTATACTGTAGGGAATTTACCACTTTAATTCTATGCAACCAGACTGTTTTTAAAAGGAAGTAGTACACACTTACTTAGGCCTCCTTTTGCTGTGCGTCTGAACTGCTGGTTTCTTTTCCTCAGGACTTTTGGATAGGTCATCTCCTCCAGGCAACTCAGGTGGTAGTGGCAAGTCTGCAAGCAGATGTCGGAGTTTCTTCTCCACTTCTTTTTTAACTGACTTGACTGTAATAGTCTCTCGTGAACTATATATATAAAACAAAAATAAAATCAGCTAAGATGTTTAACTCACTGAAATTTTCAATGTTGTGACTGAAAACCTAACAAGTCAATATCTGGATGAAATGCATTGTAAATCCTACATTTACTTGAATGCAAGATGAGGTGCCCCCACCCCTCCATCAGCATGGTGGGGGAAAGCCCCTGGTCTTAGATTCATGTACAAAACAGAGGGGTGGGGGACAGGTGACTGCTGCAGCTCTGACTGGCTCCAAGCCAAGTCGGGGCCAGAGTCAGGTTCACAGCAGCCGCTTGCCCCCACCTCCACTCCTCTGCAGCTTCTGTCCTTGATTTGCCCCATTCCTCCCATTACTGTCAGGCACAACTTGGCTCTGGTTCAGGTTGGATTCCCTCCCAGGCACAGAGCACCGTCCCCTCTCCATTCCCTGCCCAGACAATCAGCAGTGCAAATACTGCTATGTGGCCAGGCAAGGGCTGTGCTCCATGAGCCAGGAGGAAATAGAGCTCAAGCAGCATCTGACAGTGAGAAGGTGGGGGGAGAAGAGGCAGAGATGGTAGAAAGTGGGTGGGGGGAGTGGAAGAGGCTGTAGGGAGATGGGGATGGGGGCTGCAGGAGGGAAAAGTGAGGCAGAAGACCAGGGTGTTCCCTGGACCCAACAGCTATCTGCCCCTCCCCACCCCCAGCCACTACTTTCCTTGCTGTAGAAGTGGGCAGGAATTAATTTAAGACAGCCCTCCAATAATTATATTCTATACCTAGAAAATTCTAACAAAACTTATAAATTTTCCATATATAAAATCTAATCACTGGGAGGGGGATCATCTTGGATTCAGGAAAAGACAGTATTTCATATACTCTTTTGTTCAAACAGCAGTTCAAATGTTAACATTCAAGACAAGAGAGCAAGCATCAGTGGCCAGAACAGAGAAAGAGGGAAAAGAAACCTGGGTTCTGTTTAATGTCTACCATACACTTCATATGTGTGGTTTTATAATTCAGTTATCCAGTCTATTTCCCCTGATAATAAAGGGATATTTCCCCCTCATCCTAAGCCAGTGTTTTAAGATCCTGTATGAAAGGCATACAGGGAAGGGAAGGACAGATTACAGCGGGACCTGGACAGGTTACAGGGGTGGGCAAATGAAAATAGGATGGGATTCAATACTGACAAGTACACGGTGCTGCACTTAGGCAGTAGGAACCAGCAGCATACCTATAGGCTGGGGAACCTCCCTTCTCAAAAGTACGGTGGCAGAAAGAGATCTTGGAGTCATTACTGACTCCAAGATGAACATGGGCCAACAATGCGAGGACTCGGTCAGCAGAGCTAACCATACCTTGCTGTGCATCCACAGATGCATCACAAGCAGGGCCAAGGAAGTGATCCTCCCTTTCTATGCGACACTGGTCAGGCTGCAGCTGGAGTACTGTATCCAGTTCTGGGCGCCGCACTTCAGGAGGAATGTGGACAGCATTGAGAGGGTCCAAAGGAGGGCCACTCGCATGATCCGGGGACAGCAGGGCAGACCCTATGAGGAGAGGCTACGGGACCTTAACCTGTTCAGCCTTCACAAGAGAAGGCTGAGGGGGAACCTGGTGGCCATCTATAAACTTACTAAGGGGAACCAGTGCGGATTTGGAGAGACCTTGTTCCCCCAAGCGCCTCCCGGAGTACCATGGAATAACAGCCATAAGTTGTTAGAGAGTAGCCTTAGACTAGACATTAGAAGGCACTACCTCACAGTCAGGGTGGCTAGGATCTGGAACCAACTTCCAAGCGAAGTGGAGCTGGCTCCTACCTTGGGGGTCTTTAAGAGGAGGCTTGATGTCTACCTGGCTGGGGTCATTTGAGCCCAGTTTTCTCTCCTGCCCAGGACAGGGGGTCGGACCAGAAGATCTACAAGGTCCCTTCCGACCCTACATCTATGAATCTATGCATATAGCTAGAAGAACAATAAATTCTCCGTATCCCATTAAAAGCCTCAAATCACAAGAAGCAGTATGAGCACACATGATGTGTGGCAGTCAAACTCTACATGCTCAACGTCAGGGGTGGGCAATTATTTGGGCCTGAAGGCTACATAGGGAGTTTTGGTGAGCTGTTGCGGGCCAGGACTGCACCCCCAACCTGCTCCACACCAACTCACCAAAACTCCCTATGTGGGACAGGACCCCAGGCAGCAGGTCTTCAGGAGCAGGAGGGGTGGGTGAGGCTGGGATCACGAGGGGTTGTATGCCAATGACAACACAGGCCAGGGCTAGGTTAGAGCCACGATCCCCATAACAGGAGTGGATTCCGTGGGCAGGGATGTGCAGGGAGCAGATTACATCTCTGCCCCACACTGTTACTGCCACACGATCCCAGCCCTGGGCCTGGACACAGCTCCCTGCTCACCCACACACCCTGCCCATGCAGGTCCCTGGAACTGCGTGTCCAGGGCCAGGGCCAGAAAGTTGTGGCAGTGACAGCACAGGGCCAGGGCAGAGCTAGAATCCATCCCCGGGCCTTGCTGGAGGGCTGCAGCACCCACAAGGGGAAGAGGCCGGCTGCAAGCCTGGTGCAGGAATCTTGGGAGCAACTTAGCCTCTCTCCTGCCTTCCCTTGCCTGTTGCCTCCCCTGGCCCATGACGCACAGCCCACAGGTAGGAAAGGAATAGGGATGGATCAGAGGCGACCTCCCATGCCCTGCCACTTGCAGTGCCCAGGGCTGGGCCGGGACCAGGGATGGTAGATGGTACTAGGGCACCCCCATTCAATACCAGGCTGGCACAGGACAGAAGTGCCCCAGCGCTACCAGACAGGACCAAGGGACCCACTGCAGACCAGGTAAATTTGCTCCAGAGGCCAGATTTGGTCCACGAGCTGTATTTTGCCCACCCCCTCTCTATACCTAGCACTTATTGCTGCTCTGCATGACTGCATTGTTTTACTGTCTGCTTCCTGCTCTCCAAAGAAAAAAACCAAACACTTCTTCAAAAGGAAACAGTACTATAATGACTTCTCCCCACTTAAGTATTTTTCAAGTTATTAAAGTATTATTTCACTGGAAAAAAAATTGGTCATTGAATACAGTTTTTATATGGAGGCCTCACAATACTTCAAAATTTTCAAATTACAATTCATTGCATTATGCGCAACGGTGAATGGCTGTCAGTATGGTGTTAAAACAGTAACCCAAAACTCGTCTACCAGAATAATCCAGAGTCTAATGTAGAGCTCTCTCATGTAATGTTGTCTTTTTTTGTACTCCCACTTCCTGTTTTCTTCCTGCTAATTTGCTTCATTTGTTTCTAAATTCTAGAAGGGTAATGTATCATGTTTGTTTTGAAAATGTCCCTGCAGGGAGAAAAACATTGTTCACTCATACTTCCTGGTCCCACAACAGTTATTCAAAGTCTTCTAAACAGCAGCAATTTGGGAATTAGTTATGCACAAGCCAATAAAATGAATACACTAGAAACCGTGTAGACATTACACACAAAGCAGTCTCGGGTAACTCAATTCTAAACTCATGATTAAAACTAAGTCAAATTTAAATATTTATGTTGGTTTACTTCATTACATCCAGCCTGGATAATGAAACTCGACAGATCAGCTTCACTTTTGTTTCCTTAGCATCACCAATTCTCATGGATTAGCAAAATCTACCTCTACAATTTTGCCTACCTCTACAAGAATCTAAAAAAGCAGATTTCATTTCCCACTACAAAGAAAAAGAATAATCACACACAAAATGAAAGTATAATCCCAGATTTCCACGCTTGCTTAACTTTACTGAGAGACTTAATGCAATCTACATTGCCAGGAGATTTATTAGTCAGTACTGTATTTGCTTCCTGGTGTGGCAGGAAGTTCTTGTTGCCTCACCCAGACTGTCTCCTGGGTGTCACACCTCCTGGACACTCTATGTTTCCAGGAGCGCTTATTCTACGTCACACCTGGTTAGGCCTCAGACCCAGCAAAGGGAGTAACAAGATTGTTAATTCTTTGGTGAAAGTAGTTCTTTATGTAAATAGTGCTGTTTCCATACCACAAGTCCCATCTAGATGCTACCAGCAGCTCACCCGCTGCTTCAGGCACAAGCTACAGCACTCAGTCAACAGCCACAGCTGAGAGAGGGTTCAGAGAACCCTCTGTCCCTCCAGCGTTTTAAGTCAGATAGGTAGCAGCCATCTTGGCAGCTGCATGGCATTTATAATGTCTCCAGGCATACTTCTTTTCCAATGATGAAAACAGCTTCCCTGCTTAATAGACACACCTCAAACATATGTGCTGTATGCAAGAAGATATGGTTATTTGTTCTTCCACGCTGAGAAGTATGAGGGCGGTTTTAAGTTAGCAGGCAAATTTTAAACTGAGTTTATTTCATAACGTAAACCTGATAAAGGGCATAGTCTATTTAGGAAAGTAGTAGTTATTTAAGAAGTAGTTTAAGCAGTAATCATAAGTTCTCCTATTGCATTACTATCAGTACACACGCATTAAACTAGGCGGGAAATGGCAACTTTGGTGGAAAAAAGCAGAGAAGAAATATAAATACTTCTATTTTGACAATGCCCCCAATGCTGTGGTAAATGAACACCTTGCAAAACTGTAAAATCAACCCCAGTGAGCAATCTACAGACTGAAGTCGTCTTTCCTCTTCTCCAGCAAGATACAAATTCTCAATAATTTTCCCTACCTGATCATATTTTACTTTCCTCACCATAAAAGTTAAGATAAAGTACCTTACATTTCCCCCTCCCACTAAATATGCTCAGTGTTTTGGGGTTTTCTTTTTTCATGCTTTGGCTCTCATTTTAATTAATCTTTTTGGGGATATTACATCCAGTACTGATTTCAAGAGTTATCTTTTCTTGTCTTATGGGGAGTTAGCAATGGCTACAGCACATCATTTACAGTTTGAGCCATCAGAATGTCAACTTTTAAGTAGACAAGATTTGTGTGGGGTTTAGACAACTTTTAAGTAGACCAACTTAAAACAGTTGGTCTAATAAAAGATA